AAAACGAAAAAAACACACACACACAGCCGCACGGGAATAGTCAGGACAGCTTCCTAGGGCCTCAAAACGTCGAGATCTGATGAAAACTCGATTTTCGCAAAACGGGGTAAAATCAATAACGTCCCGAATTTAAAAAAATTTTCGATTTTCTTAGCGGGAAGTTAAAAATTTAATTTAATTACGAAAATAATTTTGAAGAATTTCATCTTCTTGATTTGAGTAGCAAAATTCTTAAACTACGAAATTTTTCTTAGTTTAAGTAAATTTTACTTGATTTAAGAATTTTTCTACTTAATTCATGATTATCAAATTCTTCGAAATTATTTTTTTGGGTTCAAAAATTTTTCTCTTGATTCACGTTATTTTTTTTTCAGTGAATAAGTATCAAGCAAAACCGTCTTAATTCATGCCGCAATGCACAAAGCAAAACTGTAACAAATGTCCGGTCTTGTGGTGACATACAAATACTCTAATATATTGAATGGTAATGTATATTAATATTAATAATCATTATCTCTAGTTTTATTTGAAGCTACTTAACATAATCTATAAACTTATGTCCGCTACTTAACGATTCGGCTTAGTACAAAAGATGAATCGTTTATTTGAGAAACCCCATAAGTCAAAAATACTAAATTTTTCAGGAGAAGCAAAAAACATTTTTCTCGGTTAAGTTTGCATTAACATCATGAACCAATGATGAATAATAACGTTAGTATCCCGAAAAAATATTCGAGCATGAAAAAATTTAATTGTTAATTACTACTATTCATAATAATGATTTGAAGTTGATTGACTTATGGGGTTTCTCAAATAAACGAACAAAATAGTGGTAAAATCATTAATTTATTAATTTCTCTCCGTGAATCATTTATTATATTTATAAAATAAAGTACAAAATATGGTATTGGAACCAAAATTAACGAAAATTATTATAAATCATCTATTTTTAAATTCGAATTAGTGAACGGGGAGTCAACAATAAAACAACATTTTAATTTATCACAATCTAACTTTATAATATTAAAATTACAAAAATTATTGAGATCAAAGTATTTAACAGTAAATTTAGTTTCTAATTATCTAATAATCAATCATTTCAATATTATAGTCAGTGAAATCACATCAAATAATAAAACAATAATTTAATTTAATTTTTATAAACCTATACTGTGAAAATTATTAAAATTTAAGTATTATGCATTGAACTGAATTTTTCTACTTAAAAAAAGGTTTTTTGAAAAAAAAAACAGAAAAAAATTTATTTTTTGAATTTTGAAATTGAATGTTTATTCAAAAAAACCCCATAAGTTACTGACTTATGGGGTTTCTCAACTAAACGAGATTTATATCGACCGATTAGTTAGGTCTTGAACACGGATTTAATATTTTTTGGTGCTGGTATAAGTGAGGGGAAATTCAAAGAATCGAAAAATGCAATAAATCCGATTTCGAAAAAAATATGACTTATGAGGTTTCTCAAATAAACGATTCAGATGCAAACTCGATTTCTACAGACGTGATTTTTTTCATCAGTTATATCTCATCTTTGGGTTTTACTTGTATACCGTTATCTGGTTTTTACAAGGCTGATATCCCCACCCTTTTTTGGGGCATCAACAGTCTCTCCACTTTATCTCTCCACTATATTGCAGCTGTGGCCCGACTTGTACTTTCTGTACCGTATTCACCCTGAACCTCACCTCTCAGGCTGTTGGAACAGAACCATGGGGAAACCACAGAGAAAACCCATGATAGTACAGTTGGAGCTGGGCTAAGTCTACAGTGATTGATAAGAAACTCTTCTTTATCGACCACTGGAGCATTAGGCCCCTCTCCTAGTGTGCAGAGATCCCTCGCGCTAGCCAACGCTGACTAGAGTGGTCACCCATTCAAGTTGTTGCTTTAAAAAATTTTGCGTCATTTTTAACACAAATCTTGTGTAAAAAAAAATTTAACACAAATTTTTGTGTTATTTTAACATAAACGTTTTATGTTAAATCAATAACATACTATTGTGTTAAATTTTACACAAATTAATGTTAAAATATTCTACAGAGGAGCCTAAAATTTTTGACGCATCTAAATGTTAAATGTTTACATATTAAAATGTTAAAAAGTTATTTTCCCAAATTGAAGTAGTCAAATGCATAACCTCAATAGTTATAGTTAAAAACAATTTAAGTTTTCAAATATGGACTATTTTTATATCAAACAGGGGACTAGTTGATAATACATAAGAATATATACAAAAGTAAAAATTTTTTTTTTTCAATAGTTTGACAGTTTTATTTTTATTATTACAAACAGTAATTAGAATAGTTATAAAAAATATTCCGTTGGGATAACAAATTGTTTATCACTAGTTTCATATAATTGCCAGTTTTTAGTGTAAGGCAAGTCGGATATTTTTTGTATAAAAGTCTTTGAATTATTAACAATTAAATATCCTAGACATGATGTTGATATGTCTATTGTTTTCCATGATTCACAAATCACAAACAATTCATCATAGATAGAAAAAAAAAGTACAGATCTACTGAAAATGGGTAAATTATTTGAAAAGGTAGTACAGATAAATTTATTTTTCAAGAGTTCTGAACCCATGAATTTAATGCGTTTCCCAACAGTAATTTTTATTTCTTCAGATAGTGAAAAATGATCTAAAATGATTAGTTTGTATTCTAATTTACTAATACTTATTTCTCGAGTTTCTATAAGATGTGATTTAATATCATTATTCCAAAAACATGACATGGATTTCTGATTACGCTCAGCTAATGTAAATCCAATGTCTATAAAATTTTTCAATTTCTCAGCATAACTTTTGAGAAAACCGTTCTTGCTTTCGTACCGCATAGTCCACTGATTTTTAGGAGGACCCATTTTTCTAATAATCATTGGATAGTGAGTCACAATATGATCTTTAAGTGTTAGATTTGCTGCGTAATTACTAATTAAAATATTGTGATGCATTGTCGTACTTGTTTCTAAATCTTGCAACATTTCTAAGGTAATTTTAGGCGCTAAGGCAATTTTCAGCATTTTTATTAGTAACAATATCATGTACCATTTAACATAATCATTTTGTTTTATTTTCAAAATCGTATCTTTTATAATTAATGGTAGAAAAGTAATCAAGCAAAGAGTTTGTGCGGCATGTTGTCCAATACTATTTGACGTTTTGCTAATTTTAATACCACTCGGAATATTCGGTCTATTATTCAAACCATAGTCAAAAGCTTGTATTCGCTCATTTAATTCTTCTAGAGAAATTAAACGTGTTTCAATTAGAAAAGTAAAAAATAATTTCAAATCTCGTTGGCAAATTCCCTCCAAGAAATCGTGCATAACATCAATACTATAGTTTTCACAAATTTTAAAATGGTTAAGTTCACAAAGAGGAGTAAATTTTTTTATCCCAAAAAAATTCAAAGTTTCACTGTTGGCGCAGTTCAGTCTTTTAGATAAATAAATAAAGCTCTCAGATGTACGTAAAATTTTATCATTAGCCTCACACGTCTTCTGAGCATCAGTTTTTGAAATTGTACAGATTCGGCAATAATAATTCGAAGAAAACGATTCATTCATACCAAGTAATGTAGCGCAGCCTAAATTATCACAGGATAATGATACTAATGTACCTTTCACAATCGAATTCAAAGAATCTACATAAATTCCCTTTGATTCTAGAATTTTTATATCTTTAACAATTACATCTAATACAGGACTGATACCGAATTGTTTTATGTCGTAATTGTAACATAAAGCTAGTAAATGTATGTGATTTAAATTAGAATTTAAATGAGAATACAAATTTAAAAGAGTAAAATAAAATGCACCGATTTTGTGAATGCCAGTTTTGGTTCCTAATGGATTACAAACTTCAAACTCATCAAAGTATAATTGCAATTGAATAACATGCTTGTTTTGTTTAAAAAATTTATTTTTTTGATAAACTTCTCCATCTATAAAATGTGTATATTCTGTACTATTGGGTTCTCGAGGATTAACAAAGTAATTACTAATAGATTCAGAGTTTAAAATAAATGTAAGAGTTTCTAATAATGGTACGTAAGTAAAAGTACTGGTCACAGAAAGTTGTTTGTAAGATTGTTGAACTTTGTCATATTTTTTGTCTATATGAATACCATGTGCTTTTTTAACAGGTTAGACCATCAATTGCTGAAAGGCTTTATTCCGCATATACTTTGTCAATTTATTATTAAATGGTAATCGAAATTGATTTACGAGATTAAGTCTTTCATTAAAGTCATTGCATTTTATTAGGTTGTCAAGCAGGGGATAGATCAAATCGACATTTATTTTTAAGATTTTGTCAATTGTAGAATCTGGTAAACCAAACACGTATAAATTTTGTATGTATTTATCAATATTATTTTGCATTTCGTTATCGTTTAAACTATTACTGTTAGTTTGTTGATTGGCATCATTAGTCACTTGATAATTTAAGTCTTTTGGAGTATTGAAGCTATTAATATAACTATGAGATGATTTTTCTTGGGTACAATTTTCAGTAAATAGAACCGCTGTATTTTTTTTCATGCACATTTCGAGGTGTGTTTTAAAACTATCATAAGTCACATAAGTATTGGAGCAACCAGCACAACAAGTTAAAACCAAATTTGGTTTTTCAACTAACAAATGGTTGATTTGTAAGTGTTTACACAAAAGATCAATGCTATTCATTTTCATGAAACATAAATTGCACTTTAAAGACATTTTAAAAGAACTTGAGTTTTAAGAAATTTTTAATATTATGAATGCAACTTGAAATCAACTAAGTTGATATTAATTAAAACAATCATAGAGTTCAGTACAACTAAATCAGTCTTTGAAAACTGTGTAATCTTAATATTATATTATGTTTTACTATAATGGACTAGTTAACGTCGTTATAAATTTTTTCCTCTAAACGTAGGTAACTCTTATATAAATAAAAATAAAATCTTCAATTCCAAGTTAAGCTTCAAGTTTCAATTTAGCTGCTTCCAATTTGCTGATAAAATCAATAATTTGATTGGTACATTGGCTGGATATACCATAAAAATTATGCTGCATAAAAATCCAAAAGTTTTTCAAGTCGACGTCAAACTCTACATTGAAAACATAGTGCGCCTTGAATAGTGCATCAATTGCTTCTACAATACTCTTTACTTTTAGAGAAATACAATGATTGTCAATACTGATATGATATTGACTAATGGCACTTTTATTCGGTCCTACAGCAAGCAATTTAGGCTGAGGAGAATTTGTACTATCTTTTAATTGTAGTGGAGTTCCAAACTAAAAAATAAAATATTAATTTTAACGTAACTTAATTTTTGTAAAATGTATATCATTTTTATCGGTCACAAATATTTACCGGTCTAAGCACAATCAGCTTGTCGACTATTAACTTAGTTTTCACTCGAATAGCATTTTTTTCCCCTTTGCGGTCGGTGGCACGAGCTGAGTCAAAGAGATTAGCGAATTTGTCACTTGATCCCAATCTACAAAATACGTTTCATTATTAATTGTAAATCAAAATAATTTATAATTGTTAATATTAAAACTCATCAATGGTGTAAACACCTAATATTGATTTGTCTTGTTTTTCAACTTCATATATATCTAAAGCGGCGAGTATGTATTTAGGAAAAGTTTTTGTAAAAATGTCAGAAGCTATCTCAGGAAAGAGGAGTTTAAATTCAACGTCAATCTATCAACATAAGTAAATTATTAATATTGTAATAATTTATAAACTACATACATAGAGTTAACATGTATATTTACTTACTAATTCAGGGACATCTAAAAACCTAGGATATACTGTGAAAAAGTTCTGATTCATGTGCAAGAATCGCCTGATGTCATGTGTTAGCTGAATTTTCAAAATAATATCATCTTTCTGGTCAGGAACAGCACTTTTCATAAACTCTATGGCATCTTTAACGTCCACTGTCTCATTTACTGCCTGCGTTTCAGTAACTTCACGAAGGACAGCATCAGATGACTTATCTTCTATACTTTTAACACATTTGGAGCCTGGTTTTTTTCTAGAACTGTTTGATAATCTCGTTGCTATATAACCCGAAGAAGATGTAGAATCGTAAAAATGTTCCTGTTGACAGAATTATGATGGCATGAAAGAAAAAAAAAATATTCCCGTTTAAAGGAAAGCTGTTATGATTAACATGGATGTACTTACATATCCTAACTTTCCGTGTGGGTTTCGAAGATTAGGAAACAACTCAATCACTGCAGCCGCACATTCTGCTTTATCGTTTGAGGACAGCGTTCTTTTGATCTTGTCCTTATAATCAAGAAGATACTTGACAATCAACCTTACGATTTTTTGACGATTAGCAGTTGATAAATACTGATTCTGATCATACTCTTTCATAAGATCATCACCATATGCAGTAGCTAAAATCAGTCTCCGGAGTTTCTAAAATAATAATAAAATATAAATTTAGGAGTTTTAAACAACAATCAATAGATAATAATTTTATACAAGTTTCATTAGAAGACATGAAATATTTTAAAAAACTAGACCAACATACTTCTTTATCAAAATTCTTTAATGCTTTAGGATCTTCAATATTTTTTTTCTTGGCAGGTGGACTATGCAATGAATCATTATCATCATCGTAAGAAATATCAGGATCCGGGGTAGTAGTAACTTTTTCAGAAGTATAATTTTGCAGAACGTTCAGATTAGATAAATTATTATGATCAATATCACCTATTAAATGAAAAATAACTAGTATTAATAAATAAAATAAAATAATTAGCTAACTAAGATATTGAATAAATGTTCAATGTTTCATTAAAGACAATCGATAAGTTCTTATTCTTTCAAAAACTTACAAATAACAACGTCGTCGTTGAAAGTTTGAATTTTTAGTGTCACGCCTGGTGGATTTCCTAAGATGTAATCCACTAAAATATAATCAAGTCTGGCATCATTGATGTCAGTGAAAAAAAAAACTGAATTTTTTAACAATGGGAAGACTTCTTGAGCTACAAAAATAAAAAATTTTTATCATAAATAAATTTGCTATGTATAAAAAATTAAATATTTTTAATAAAAAAAAAACCTTTCATAAAAATTTGATCATGGACAATCGGTGTTGCCAATTTAACCCAAACTTTTTGATTATTTAGTTCTAAAATAACCAATCTGTCTCTTAATTGATTTGAATCAGTTGGCAAGCCGTCATTAATTGACATTGAATTATTCATCTACAAAAAAAAATTTTTTTTCTTAATCACCATAAATTATTTTAAAGTAATTATAAACATAAAAAAATTTTTATATCTTCAATAAAATAAGTCTTCGACAAAAATATTGCGGTTTTTGAGGTTAGTTATTTTTTATTAAAAACATTGTAAACAAAAATTAAATATCACTTACGTTTATTACTTCTAATTGGTTTTTTCATTAACAGCAACACATTTAATGAAATATACATTTAAATATTTTTTTATAATAAATTTTAATTAGATATATCACAACAAAGTACCGGTGTTTGCAAGCAATGACACGGAGAAATATGGCGTCGTCTATCCCGCCAAAACAAGTGGAGTCGCTAGGGAGAGCTTGGACGTCCTCACTCCACTTATTTCATGTCAGTTTTTAACACAAAGTTCTGTAAAATCAACACAAATTTATGTTGATTTTATAGTAACACATTTAAAATGTTACTTTCATGTAAAATAACACTTTTTTGTGTTGATAAAAAATAAAATCAAATGACACAATCGTATTGTGTTAAATTGACACAAAAAAGTGTTAAATATTTAACACTAAAATTTTTAACACTAGACTTTTTTGACGCAATGACGGAAAATTTTTTACTGTGATTAAATGTGTGATCGCCCAAGTCAGGCGTGTGCCGCCCGGCTATCTCTGCCACTTCCAGAGGCTGGCAACGTAACGTTACGCACATATTTTTAATTATAATCACTGAAAAATATTGGTGCGTGCTGGGATCGAACCCGGGTCCCACTCTTTCGAAAAGTGAGCACCGAGCCGACCAGGCCATTGCCAACCTCTTTTTCATCGGTTATATTAATTTAGCATAAATTATATCGCTATGTAACATTTTCTCGAGGGTATAACTTCCTTTTGGAGACAAAAAAAAACATCTGGAAAGCGGTTGACTCTGTAGAGCATCCTTAAAACTATTGGTTATTTGCAATTTCGATAGAATTTGTTTCATTCAACAAAGATTTTTAAGCTTAATTTAAGTGCTAACTAGATTTTGGAAGTGATTGAAATAATGTAGCAGTATAAAAGTTATTCCAAAAATAAATTTTTTTGAACATTTTAATTTTGAAGATCAAAATTGGTTGGCTAACATGATAAAATTTATAAATTTTCTATTTACTTTTTTGAGAATTTCAATCTGCGTTTTTCACCAAGTAGTAAGGCTATCCAAGTTTTACTCTACAATTTCTATTAGGTTTTATTGTGAATTTATGTAATTAAAAATGTAACGTTATCAGAAAATATGGATTTTTTAATGTTAAAATTCTGTTTTAATGTCTTCTTATAACGTTGATATAGTGGGGAAATCAGGAGATGAGGTAGTACTTTTGTAATACTATTTACAAAAAGATCAAAAAACGCTTATATGATTTTTTAATATCGATAGAATATATCCGCATTTATTTCAAACTTAAAATTTTGTACAAATCATATTGTAAATTTGTATATAAAAAATTTATTAAGTTATTGGTACACTTTTAAATAGGGGAAGGGGGGGGGGGCAAAGTGGGCCCCCTAAAATTTAGAAAGCCCCAAAATTTTGGGGGCAAAGTGGGCCCCCTGAAATTTTTTATAAAAAAGGTGAATAATAAATCATTTATATTTTTGATTATGATTAAAAGTGGTTTTTGTCAAAAAAATTGTTACATCCGAAATATTTTTCGATAAATTTTTATTTTTTTCTTAAATTCTCAGAAAATAATTATTTTCTAATTTAAAACTTCCGGGAACAAAAAAACTTTAATCTTTATTCTTTAAAATTTAATTCTAAAAAAGAAATCTAAGGCAAATAGTTAATTAGTCCAGTTGAGAAAAGGCAAAATAAAGACCTTACTTCGCAATAATCGTAAAGTAGTAATTTCTTTCACAGAATGATCCAAAATATGCTAAAACTACGACATCCGAAAAAATCAAGCAAAAAAGTTTGTTGCGTGTCTATTTTTTTATAATAAAACGGTCAAAATTGTGATTTTAAGCAAATATATGATCAACTGCAGTAGACACCCTCTTAAAAACTCCTATAGGATCCCATCAAAAGCGACAAAAGCCACTTAGAAACCAATAAAATGTATTGGTTTCTAAGTGGCTTTTGTCGCTTTAGATGGAATCCTATGGGAGTTTTTCAATAGGGCAGATGAGTAAATCCTTTGTAGTAGTATATACACGGAAAAAAATAATCGGTAAATGCTACCGATTGGCGATCGGTAGCAGCTACCGATTTTTTTTCGGTAGAGGCTACCGATTTTTTCGGTAGAGTCTACCGATTTTTTCGGTGCAAGCTACCGATTTATTCGGTGCAGGCTAGCGATTACTAATTTTTGAAAATTTCTTATCTTCTTAACGAGAAGTTAAATTCGCACTTCTAAATAAATAAAAAAAAAAGGAACTTCATTTGAGATACAAATAACGCTTACTCAAATACAAAATATTAAGAATGAAGAGTATTTATTATTAGATATTTTCGATCATAAATTTTTATTAAATTAAATACACGGAAAAAAGTAAACTGTAATATTCACTCGGATTCCGGTTAGTTTTTATAGTTTCAAACAGTAAAGCGGACATCGGGATGGCAAAAATGTAAATATTACAGAACTTAATGTAGAAAGTATA